AACAGACCTCGTATAAGTACAATCCCACATCTTAAAATTTTTGAAACTTGCAACGTTTTCCTTTTGTACGCAGTTTTTGCCGTAACATATAATTTCTTGAACTCGCCAAAAATTATTGTGTTTTATTTTACTCAAGGCTCATAACTTTTTTCTTCCTTTTTTTTCCTTTTCTTTTTTTTCTTCCTTTTTTTTTCCTTTTCTTTTTTTTCTTCCTTTTTTTTTCCTTTTCTTTTTTTTCTTTCTTTCTTCCTTTACAATCCTGTGTTTTGCGGTCTCCCTACACTCGCCGCAATCAAAATGTAAACAGCTGTATAAGGAACTATAAAAAATATGACCTTTAGATCAAAGTTGTAAGACATCGTGCGACCTTTCCTTAATCAAGGGGCTCGCTTCAAAACCTGCCCAACCCCATTGCGGTGTTTCATTTTTTCTTTCCACATCTTCCTGTTTGTGAAGAATATGAGTGACCAAGTTTGACGGAAACAATCCGAAGTTTCATTTTTTATGGAAAAAAAAAAAATCGTGATAAATCATTCAATGGGCATCTTCGTTGTTTTTCTTTTTACCGAAGGAAACATTTCTTCGGGCAGTTTTTGAAGTAAGCCATCTAATGTTGCATGCGTCGCGTCGCACAAAGGAACGAGTCAATTAGAGGGGTTGGACATGAAATTTTTAGCTATTACTAAATTTTTGATGTTTCATTCGTCACATTTTAACTTTTAAGGGGCTCTGAAAGAAAATCTCACGAGAAAACCAATGGAACTACTTTTAAAACCTCAATGCCTTGCACGAACGGAGTTAAAAGCTTTTGAATTTTCCAACTTTTGTCCGACCTCTTCCATTCTGCCGTTTTAAGGAAGAACGCCGTATGCGCCTTTAGGCGTTGTCATATTTCCTTCAATATAAAACGAATTTATTGAAAAAATCGTGAATATTTTTCTTCAAATTTTTCGGAAATTTGATCGCGATTTGATCCAAAATATATATCTGAAAATTTCAAAGAAAAACATGCACTATATACTTTCCTCAAAAATACACGTTTTATCCGGGAAAATTTGGCAACTCTCGAATGTTGATACGGCGTTTTTCCTTACCACGGCAGCATTGACTGGATCCACTGTGTGTCGTTCCAACAGAAATCGGTGAGAAAACCCCGATTTTTCCGAGCCCAAACGGCCACGCCGCCTCAAATCAGAGTCATACACTCATCTGCTTTGATTTTGGAACTGTTCTTTGGCGCCCCGGGCCCCTCCTCCGTGGGAAATTAGTGGGGTGGGCGGGGGCGGGCGTAAGGGAGAGGGATGCTGGGAAAACAATTTAACGGGGGTGAATGGAAGCCGGGGCGGAGGAAAATGGGAGAGGCGGGTT